ACTAAAACCTGAGAGCCTTATGAAATACTGAAAATATGGTGTTTTGATTAACAAATTAACAAAATTTGTGGAAAATAAATTTTGCGTGCCCGCAGCAGAAAAGTAAGGGCACGTACAAGTAAATGATTTTTTACTTCTAACTTGTGTAAGTCACCGTTATTTAATTCTTTTCCTTATTGAGAAAGAAATAAATTAGTATATTACAGCTTACTTCTTGCCTTAGATACATGAAATACCATTTTATTTATGTTTAGACCTAAATTCAAAAATAGTACGTGCTCTCAAATTATTTGCATTGTTTCTTCTTATCCTGTTTATTTATTTGGAAAAAAATTATGGTTCTGAAAAGAACCGATTTGTGTTTCATTAAGTATGTTCCTACTTAATACTGTTTTGGGTTTAGGTGATTTTGTTTGTTTTTCGTTGAGCCTGGTTTATTTGATTCCTTGGGTTGTTCTGTGATTACAGCCATCGACAAGAGACCATTTTGTCAGCTGTTTTAGATTTTTCCAGAAATATTTTCAGCTGCGTTCAGGTTCCTGAGTGGAGAGTCTTACCACTGAAATTGTGGATTGGATGGCCAGGGGTAGTCTGGATAAAACTGGTATTTGAGAGTACCTGGAAACGTGGAAAAGGTTGTAATGCACTCTGTGGCAGAACATGGCGTAACCTGTTTCGGAAATAGTTTATATGAACTTTTCTTTTTAAATGCGTCAACGTTATAATTTTATTGGGCAATATTAATAAAATTTCTATATTACTCAAATAAATTTATCCGGAGCTAACAGTTACCACCCTATGCAATTCAAACAATTAAAATGCATATTACAAATTCAAATTACCCGCTTAGTGTGTACACGGATCACGTCCGGCTATAACGTGACATTCGAGAGTGACAATGAGAGCGGACCAATGAGAATCATCTTTCACGCAGTGCTGCTTGGCGGTAACGCCAAAGCTCTCAGAATTTCTGAAAAGTTGCAAAGCTTATAATTTATTGGTTATTGGCATTAACAATTTATTATGTGCTCTTACACAAATCTTGATTTTTTAAATTTTCTATATGATTGTAGATTTATTAGTTACTAGAATTCTGTCTTTCTAAGCAAGACAAAATTTAGATTTTGTCAATATCGGTTTATCAGTGA